GTGCCGCTCTTTATCAACGGCAACTGTAAGTTACATTAACTCTGTCTTCTCTCTAAACACGTAATCACTAATTAATTTACCACCCATATATATAAGACCATATAATTGGCATGTTATGTATTTATGTATGTATATATATATATATATATATATATATATATATATATATATATATATATATATATATATATATATATATATATATATATATATATATATATATATATATATATATATATATATATATATATATATATATATATATGTATATATGATAAAATATGAAGTTATCCTATGACACAAACATTGTCTCTTTAGTACCCTACAACTCGTGGTTTGAACACACAGACACCTGGTTGAAGGTCGCTAGGTCAGGAAAACACAAAATTCAGGTGGTCTTCTATGAAGATCTTCATCGAGTGAGTTACTGTGTAAATACTGTCTTGCGTTTGGTGACTTATTTCTACTGTCTTGTGTTTGGTCACTTATGTCTACTGCCTTGTGTTTGGTGACTTATGTCTACTGTCTTGTGTTTGGTGACTTATGTCTACTGTCTTGTGTTTGATGTCTTATGCCTACTGTCTTGTGTTTTGTGACTTGTTTGGTGACTTATGTCTACTGTCTTAGGCTTGGTGACTTATACCTACTTTCTAGTGTTTTGTCTGTGTCTGGTGGCATATGCTTTCTGTCTAGTGTTTGGTGACTCATGTCTTCTGTCCAGTGTTTAATATGTGTGTAGAGGCATACGTCTATCGTCTTGTGTCTCAATGTTTTGTATATATAATGTATCACCTTCTAAAGCTTCGAAGTCTGTGTCTCAACCCCTTAGAACTAACATCTGAAAAAAAAACCTGTAAACCACCTAGGTTTTGAACTCAGTCCTCCTACACCACTTGCCTTATGAACCCCTATTACATTTCCCACAGGCAATGGCCGGCGCTACCTATAAGGCGAACTAGGCGGTCGCCTAGGGCGCTAGCCTTAGGGGGCGCAAATATGTGAAGTCTTCGATAGTAAAAAGTACCTAATAATTAATAATTTTAATTAATTATATAAGCTTTAGACAGGGTAATAAACAAAGGCATGGCGATCGATATCGGTACCCAGGACGAACTATCAATTGTGCACCCTATCTTAAAATTAGGCCTGTATATATATATATATATATATATATATATATATATATATATATATATATATATATATATATATATATATATATATATATATATATATATACTTGAGTTGGTGAAAATGCTCCCCCAAGCTCCCTCACTTTGAAATGTCGGGGGGCTTTCTACTTGTCACTTTGACTTTTTATTTTTGTTTCACACAATTGCTGTAGAAAACAATAAAGGGGAATATGCGCGTTTTAATAATTTTTACCTAAAGCGCTAAATAGCCTTGCACCGGCTCTGCCCACAAGTTTCAAACTCATACATCCCAAGTCTTACAAACCACACCCTTAGCAACTGCCTTTCTACCACATCTCCCACAGGATTTCAACTCCACCGTGTCCAGACTAGCTGACTTTTTGGACGTCGACTACACTCCTGAGCTGATCGCCGCTGTCCACCTGGAGACCACGTTTGACAACATGAAAACACACAAGGACGATTTCACCTTGTCGCTCAGCAAAAACGGGGAATCCCCGATTTACAGAAAAGGTGCGTCATTTTTTCCAGGAAAGTCAGAAAACAATAGGAAAGTTGATAAATAACAAAAGAAATGCTTTTTAGCGCAATTTCCATTCTGGAGAATTGCGTTTATTAACCCGTCATTTCTGGATGTATGAATGAATGGATTGATGTGTGTCCGCAGCTTTAAGTCGTATCTCCTCCTCAACGAAGCAATATCGAGAACTAGTTCCAAAGCAATTATGTTAAGCAAATTACGATGATGAACAAATGGGCCAAAAAATTCCGGGTTTCTTTCATGAATTTACGGAAAAGCCAAAAAACCTCGGGAAAAAAAACAGTTTTTGGCCCATATCTCGACAACCAGACCACTTCGCGAATTGAAACATGTACCAATCGATTTCTGCCATAATTTAGAACAATATTGCCGAAGAAAGTTTTCTAAAATATCATTTCGTTCGGTCACAAAAAATTTTTTGAATTAATTAAAATTTGGACCGAATTAGTAGGCATGTTTATCCAACCACACCACACGCGTCATCACGTTCAATAGCTGCGCCATCACGTTCAATGGCTGCGCCTTCACGTTCGGTAGCTAGGCGCGCCATGGTTTTTAGTCATGTAACTCTATTGTAAATAAAACATGTAAAATACTGAAAAAAAAATTAAATAAAAAACGTTTTAATAACTAACCAATGGTTTTACTAACCCTGCTCTTGATTTACGCTACGACAGAGCTATTTTTAGATAACATAAGGAAATTGCGCTAAAATTGTTACTAGACTTTTTAATTAATTGTTTAAAAACATTAGAAAGAAACAAATAAACTTAGGTTAATTTTTTTAACTGGTTCTATTTTGGGGAACATGTAGGAAATTAAAATAAATTTAGATCTTATTTGTCTATGCAGTGTTTGATACAACAGAGACAGGAGTGTAGCTAGGGGGATATAGGGGAGAGCGGGTGTGGCAGCTGCTCCGGCGCAGACCATAAAGGGGGGGGGGGGCGCTAATTGGATAAAAAAAAATAAAACAGCTCATTTAAAATTTCATCACTGAAAGTTAAGAAAATAGTCTGCAGATTGGCTTTACGAACTTATTTAATACTGGCGTTTCTACATCAACCGTGTGATATCAGACACTTAAATAAATAAAACTGTTAAAGGAAAGTGACTTATAAAATTTTGATTTTTTTTTTCTAACAGGAGAAGTTGGGGACTGGGTCAACTGGTTCACGCATGAGCAGATCGAACAAATCGATCAGAAAATGGAGGCCTGGCGTCTGCACCTGGACAACAGGATCAAGTACTTTACCGACCAGCCCAACCCCACCTATACGTGAGTGACCCACCTACAGTTTAAGCCCTCGTTAATCACTACGAACCCATACAGGATCATCATATGTTGATCTGCTATAGAATAAGGCAGAGACAGTTGTGTTAGTGGCGTTTCACGAAAATGTGGGTATATGGTAAAAAAAACATGTATTTTTAATGTTTTTTACTTTCTTTATATACTTATATTTGAATGATGATATTTTAAAACATGCAAATGCATGAATGTATTTTTTAATATGATTTATGTTGTGTCGATTTGGGGAAATCTCCTTTAAACAAGTTAATAAAAAGTCTAGTGACAATTTAAGCGCAATTTCCTTATGTTATCCATAACAATTTTAAATCGAGATAAATCATATATTCTGCAAATAAATAATGCAACACAAGTAGTTTTAATAATTAAAAACAAAATGGAAAAAAAAATTTATTAACTGCATTTTTTGAGGTTTTTTTTGGCTTTTCTAGGAAATCCAGGAAGGAATTCCGGGAATTTTTTTAGCCCACTGTCATCCTCGAAACTTGCTTAACATATTTGCTTTGGAACTAGTCCTCGAAATTGCTTCGTTGAGGAGGAGATACGACTTAAAGCTGCGGACATCCATCCATCCTTCCCAGAAATGACGAGTTAATAATCGCAATTCTCCAGAATGGAAATTGCGCTAAAAAAATTGCAGCAGAGGGAATCGAATTTTCCCATAAAATGAATCGGGTTTTCCCCATATAAAAGGGGTAGGTCACCAAAGCACTGATGTAATCTCGGGTATGGAGCCCAGTTACCGTGAGCTTATTTGTTATTCCGAATAATTGAAATGAGCCAGATTTTTTTAAAACGAACTATCGTATGCCTGTTTGTATCATAAAACACTTAAAATAAGCCAGACTGTATGCCAGTTATGGTGTGTTATTAGAAAAATACATAAAGTATGAATCAGCCTGTTTAATTTTTTTAACAATACCTTACACTTGACTAATTTTTAGTATGCCTGTTAATTATAGTAAAGAAGCTATGCCAGGTATTTTAGTCCAGATGCAGTATGCTTAATCTTGCCAACAGTGTTTCTTCCAGACTTTTTTCTCCGGGGGGGCACTTGAAATCTTCGGGGGGGGCGGTAAACTTTCTTCGGGGGGGCGGACACTGTTAAAAGTATATATTTTCTATATAAAATATATAAATTTCATTTCGTTCGGGGGGGCGGTAAAAAATTTTCGGGGGGGCTTTGCCCCCCCGAAGAGATGCCTGGAAGAAACTCTGCTTGCCAAGCAAAATGTTTTCTTACAGATTCCTGGTGCCTGTATTTAACAATGTAAACGCAGTGCGCCAGATTTTTCTCTATCAACGAGTTGTAATGTTAATTTTCTTAAACTGGTCTATTTAATGACCGATAAAGAAATTAAATACACTTTTCAAAACTTAATCAAATTGTATGAATTGTCCTATTGCAAGTTTAGATACATTCGTTTTTGTTGCACAGGATTCTAAACATATTATTTTAAAATTAATTAATAAATTATTTTAGCATTTTAAATTTTCATCTTTTATTTAAAAGAAGTTTTCATGCATGCTTCACTGATTTATAGGCTCATCTATTTATTTTTTCTTTTAAATATGATAAAATCCATGCATTAATTTAATTAATTTATATATTTCTGATCACTGACTTATCAGGGTTATGTTACACTCTTACATCTAAGCATATTTTTAATTTAATCTACAGCGCATGTTCATGATGTTCCATTGCTTTCTAGACATTTTCTCGACTTTTTAAAGATTGTTCCATGTATTATTATATTTATCACAATGATGTATGCTATTGCCAGTGATTTTATTGTCAATTCCATAATCTGAACAATTTTGTCATTGGTGTCAATTTAAAGTGTGGTGTGAGTGATGCAGAGGTCTTAGAGGTTCAGAGGCAAAACAAACTCCCACCAAGATAGAGTAATTAAGTAAAAAATTGAGAACCGTCTAGTTTTATTATTTAAATTGATTTTGTTATAATGTATAGTTGCTTAATTAATTAAAAAATTATAAAGTTGTTTTTTAAAAGTCTGAAGAAAATAATAACATAGGCTGCATCATGGCGAAATATTAGAACCACTGATTTCATATTTTAATTTTATTATCTAAATGCAATATTGTCAGTTGGAAAAATAAAAATAGGAATAGTTGCATAGGGTACCTTGTAACAAAGATATTAGAACCACTGCCATAAATTATCCACTTCCTACTTTCACTTTCAGCAGTCACAGATGTGAACACTGTATTGTCTTCATACCAGTACCAGTGTTTCTTCCAGACTTTTTTCTCCGGGGGTGGGGGGGGGGGGCGCTTGAAATTTTCGGGGGGGTTAGACTTTCTTCCGGGAAGGGGGGGGGGGCGGACACTGTTAAAAGTATATATTTTCTATATAAATTATATAAATTTTATTTCGTTCGGGGGGTGGGGGGGGGGTGGGGACGGTAGAATTTTTTCGGGAAGAGATGCCTGGAAGAAACTCAGCTTCAAACATGTGGCAGACACGTTAAGACCTACCCCCCCCCCCCTCCACCCGCATTTCCACTACACACACGACTTAGTTTTTCTAGCTAACTTTCCCCCCACTCTTTTAGAATAAAAATTGTTCTTGAAATAGAAAATTGAAATCCACAAATATAAATTGTACATATTTAAATATTTGTACCCGAAAAAATAAAAAATAAAAAATACCATAAACGAAATAATATATTACCAATCGTATTTCGCGTAAAATACCGATTTCATGTTTTTAAAAAATTATTTTTAGAAATATGTTGGTTTCTAATTAAAATTTGAATCAGAATAGGAATAATTACAGTACAATTTTGAAAAAAAAACCATTTTGGCTATGTTTTAGATATTTATTAACAGGACAAACGTGTAACATTTAAAATGATTACAGAATAATGTTTTATCATTTGATATGTAATTTTTATTCATTTACATATTTGTAAACGTTCTCAAAAAACGTAAATTTACATCTTAGAATAAAGTTGTCAATAATAATGTGAGTTATGAGTTACTAAGTAATTTGAATAACTACTTGAATAAGTAGAAATCTCATATCCATACATCACGCATGCATACACCACTATTATGTGTACACACACACACACACACACACACACATATATATATATATATATATATATATATATATATATATATATATATATATATATATATATCACTAATGAAACGAATATATATATATATATATATATATATATATATATATATATATATATATATATATATGCATCTAGTGTAGCCTGAAAACAGAAATAACCATAGCTATGGCCAATATATTTCATGCGGATCTGTTTTCGAGTTTATCAAGTTATAAGTTTTAGAATTTAAAAAAAAAATCTAATATGTTGCAAATATAAATTTTTACAAACCCTTTTCTTAAGCCATGACGTGCTTCTGTTTGTTAATACAAGGATAGCAAATAACTTCTTTCCGATAACAACACTAACAAACTATATCTAATTTTCAGTGTATAATTTTATACAACTAAACTTACTTAAAAATCCAAACCAAATCCTAAGCCAAGTATTAACAAAGCCCCAACCGTATTCTATAGCCCATACACTAAAGTTCAATACAATTATATATTTATCTGCTAGGGAACACGCCTGATTTACACTGTCCATATAAATCAGGTAAAGAAAAAAATTCATCTGTGGAAACACATGTAAAATGTAGAAAAGTGTGCTGAAGTCGTTTTCTTTTGACAAAAATATAACCAGGAAAGAAAAATAAAAAATTCATTAAAAAACGTTTAATAACAAGCTTTTATGAAATAATGCATTAAAAAGTAGAAAATAAATAATTTTCTTTTAATATGTAACAATACATTACTATTTGAATTTTAAAAAATCGAAAATAAAAATCTCAATCTTTTACACGTCGCTGAGTCGGAAAAAAAAAGTTTTGCAATTTTGTCTGTATTTATGTGTTTGTTAGTGTCTGTCTGTCTACATGATAACTTGAGTACCCTAACTGCTAGGTTGATGACATTTCATATAACAAATTTGTAAATCTGTGTCAACTTTTCAGCGATTTCCGATAACCGGAAGTGGAACTTATTCTATTTTTATTTCTTCAAACGCCTATAACTTAATTATTGTTTCAGATAAAGAAACGAAATTTCACATGTAAGTAACAGTTCTAATTATCTGCCTTCCGTCAAATTTTGAAATATTTCCGTGGATCGAAAATAGTGATTTACGCTATTTCCGATTTCTCAAAAAAAAAAACGAAAATGAATTTAGAAAGTACTAATAAAATTCCGCACTATTACACAGATATTGTTTGCCATTCGCTTGGTGCGCTATTCTTTTTTTCTATAAGATTCTAATCTATTTTTAAAAAGAGTAAAAATCATTTCTATATCCCTAGTTGCATCCCCCGTAGTATTATGTGAGAATATTCGAGAAAGTTAGGGGAGATCACTCCCGCTTTATTTTTTCAGTAATTTTTTTTTTTAAATTTACAAATGAGTTGAATTAATGACTAAAAACTACCCAATGAACATGAAAACGCGCGTATAATAGTGCGGAAAAGTTAGATAAGTTAGATAATTCTGCCTACTAATTCGGACACAATTTTAGTTAGTTCTTACAGTCAAATAATAATTAGGAATCAAATTAAGTCAAATTTAATGTCAGATTGCATTGTCTTTATGTCTTCACCCACGTGCCAACTTTGGAATGAATCAGTCTTTTAGAAATGCCCGAAATTTTGCTCGGCCGTATGACGACAGAGTAAGCAAGTTGAACAAAAAGCTTGTAAAAAAATTTTGTTGATTCGAGTTGCGAAATTAAATTTTTTCCAGGTAATGTTTCGAAGTATGAACTCTTAATGTTCAGTAGTTGGGAAACCATGATTGTGATTCGCTATCGAATGGGGCAGGGTCACTCGGGAATCTGATGTTGTACGGGTTTAACATTATAAGTTTAAATTTCAACAGATTATATGAT